TTTAATATTATATCATACTTATTTAATGTTATATTATAATTATAATTTTATAATTTTACACGGTATTATAATTATAATATATTACCATAAAATTAATAAAATTATATTAGATTAAAAAATATTCTTTCTTTAAGAGAAGTGATAAAATAGATAATATTTTTTAAAATTTACTGTTATAATTTATTTAAGAAATACACGTTAATCCCAACTAAACATTTTGTATTCCTTTCCCTTGATGAGTTTTCTATTGAGTTTTTCTTTATTGTAATCTGACTTTCTTCTTAATACTAACCCTATTTTAACAAAAAAGAAAAAAAGAAAAAAAAGAGGGAATTCCCTTCACAATCCAAATAATCCCTGAGTTAAAATACAAGAAACCGGGATCCCCTGTTTGAGGAACCGCAAAACAAAATACCAATCCTGCCACCATCTTTCAATGAATATCTCTCGGGCAACTGAGGCAAGGAAATGGCCATTATTATCAAATATTGCTTGCATCTTACCCCAGAAAGAAAGCGAAGTTGCTTGCTTCTTTCCGTCTTTTTATCTTTTTTGTTTACTTCATGTACCACTTTCTTGGATTTCCACTTAGAACGTGTGGAATATAATTCTCTTCCTTTCATTTGAAATTGGAGGTCTAATCTGAAAGGAAAGGAAAGACCCCATTACCTGCAATTATTGATCCTGGAAATTGAAGAGAAGATATGCAATCTCTCACCTTTTGGCCTTTTCCATCTAATTTCATGAATTAGATTTTTCTTGGCCATAGATTTTTTTAATTTCTTAATGCCTATGAAATTTTCTTCCTTTTGCTTGGGGGTCCCATCTGCTTTCATTTGGAGGTTGAGTTCCATAAAGCATCTTTTGCTTTCGACACAGAGTGGTAATAGAGAAGAATTTTTATTATTTAAATTATATTAAATTATAAAATATAAATACATAAATAAATAATTTTTATTATTTAAAAATTTATTTATATCTAATAATTTAAATTATTCACTTTAATATTCACTATACTTTTTTTAAATAAAGAAACATTACAACCTGCTGGTTAAATAAATATGTAAAAATATATTTCAATTACCTATTTATACGGGGCTTTATAGACATTAGGAAATGTAATATTTAAAATAAAGTGAATGCAGCTGTTAAAAAAAAATTTGAGTGCTTGAGATATCATTAAAATATCTAAGATAAAATTTTATGTGAGTTCAAGATAAATTGTACATGCTTAGGGAAGAAAAAAGGGGAAAAGCCCAACATTTGTTAGCTCGGGAAACATCATTAACATCCAATGTGGTGGAAGACCAAGAAACAAAGCATTATTTCAACAAACTTTTAACTTTTCCTTAATCTCGCTTTTTCTTTATTAGATAAAGCATGATCGCCCTGCTCCAAGAGAGAGTTCCCCTGCTTCAGTTACTCAGAAGATAAGTAGAAAGTGTTTCAACAAGAACTACAATTGTCTTATTAACTCTATGCACTTTAAATTTGTAAATAAAAAGAAATTTTTTTAAATTATATTATTGAGAAATTAATACTTTTAAGTTTTAAGATGAGACCAATAATCTTAGAATCCACGAAGTAAAAATAGACTTGATAAATAGGTGGGTTGGATCGGGTTTGGATTGGGTCAACTCGAATGACAAATTATACAAGTTGGGTCATAAACGAGTTTTGGATTGAAAAAATCTAACCCTAACTCGACTCTAGCAGGTTATGAGTTAATTTACAGGTTGAGCTTATTTTCATTCTTTATAATTATTTTTATTAATTTTATTATATACAAATAAAATTATATATATCTAAATCTAATTAAAATATTGTGATTTATTAACACTAAATACTTTATAATCTCATCAACAACAAACATTTAAATTAAAAAAATCATAAAGTTATAAATAACAATAAGTTGATTAACAATATCAAACTTAAAATATTTAAATTTCTTGAAAAATAAAATTTTAATTTTATAATCATCTTAAAACATTATCAAGTAGTTTAAACCATCTTTTTAATAATGAAATTGCTCTTTCGAGAACATTTTTCACTAAATTATTATGTTTATGTCCTAGCATCACATCTTTTAATATTTTTAGATGCATTATCATTTCATTCATGATACTTGGATAATTATTAATACCAAAAAAAAAATGATACTTGGGTAATTAGATCAAACTTATCATAATTTCTTCTTTCTTTAGAAATTAGAAAGAATGAATTAATGAAAGGAGTTATCAATAGAAAAATTAATTAAAAATAATAAGTATAATATTTTAAAAATAATAATAATAAATAAAACAAATGGGTTAAGCCGTTAACCTGCGAATTGATCATAACTCGACTTGTGATCCACTATGAATTGATAATACGGATTATTTATGAGTTACAAGTTAGAATATGTAAATTTAATCCATTTTTACAAACTAAATTAAGGTCAAATTGACGAATCGAGTAAATTTTTACCACCATTAAGTAGAATGCAAAATAGGAGATTAAGTCTATATTAAATACACTGACAAGTTGCATACCTAAACTAATATTTGTTGCAATGGAATTTCAGACCCAACAAACCTCTGCGGAAACACTGAAAAGTCTTCCATGCTTCCTTTCTGTTCTTTTTTTTCCCCCTTTTTAAAAGTCTTCTATGCTATCCAAAAGAAGAGATTAAGCCTATATTAAGTGTAGAGACCAGTTGCATACGTAAACTAATATTTGTTGCAATGAAATTTCAGACCCAACAA